TCACGTGAGCATAAAATAAACTCAGAACTCAACAACTCAGCAGGCGTTTGGAGTGTTCAGAGAGCATGTTTTGAAAAAACCTCAAATAATTGCTTCGAAAATTGATACAAACGTATGCGAAAGTCTTAATTAGGAGTATTTTGATAAACAGTGTTAACCCATTTTCATGGTTAAAATTTGTTTATTTCTCCACTCCCAAAATTTAGRGGTAATGTACGTATACCCACTAATTTCAATCGATATTATTCTAAATTTATATGTCATAAATAGAGTATCTACGATTTAATATTAWATTAAATTAAATTTTGTCATATTAAGGGGTTATATATAGATTCACTTGCGAGGCAGAAAAAACGCGTTTTTTTGTGAATTTTTTCCAAAGAGGCATTTTATTTTATACATTAATGGACAAAATGTACTTAAACAGAATTTAATGTACTTTAACAATCAGCGGTTTATTTTAAAAATATTGGATCGGCTAGCTCCTGTAGATCATCGCGGAGAAACGTCCAAAAAAAGTGCTTGGCGGTGCGCAAGATATTTCTGGTCCAAATTATCTAAAAACCAAAAACCAAAAATATTTAGTTTTACGATAAATATATACAGGTAATGATCGAAGGACTAGTTAAAATTTTGATTTTTAACAGAATGGCGGCTATTCAAAAAAAAAAATTCAGTTTTTCATGACAATTTTTCACTTCAAAGTGGCTAAAAAAATCGAAATTGTTGTCGAAAACCTTATTCCTTCGATCATTACCTGAAAAATATATCTAAGTAAATCGTGTGCAAATTTCAAACCGATCGGTTAAGAGGTTTGGCGGTTTGGGAGAAATTTTCCTCACCGGCTCTGAAAATACAGTTTTGAAATAAACGCGTTTAAAGTTTTAATTACTGCGCCCTCAGCCTATACCTGACCACGAGCGTCCACCTTTTCAAGGTTGTATCTCCGAAACTATAAGTCGGATCAACTTGAAATTTTCAGAGAATATTCTTGAATATATGTACATTAAAAAATTAAAAAAAAAGATCGATTTTTTTTAAAAACCCCCTTAAAGCGCTGGAGTGAAATGAGCACTTACTTCTTGAGATTTCTATTTTCACTGCCCTTTTACTGATCAGATTTTCCTCTTGAGTTCATGCAAACATGGTTATTATTGTGTTTTGTTGTTCTCACGCGGATTCGTGAACTATAACAAATAACGATTTCTACATAATCTTTGAAAGTTTGCAAACAAACGTTACGCATACGCAGTGTACGACGCGTGTGAACAAAGTGTACGCTGCGTTTATGTGTATGTATTTGATTTCACAGCCGTGGCTTGTGTAAACCTAAGTATCCATGACCAGAGGCGAATAATAAGTCAAAGCATAATTGATCGTCTTAATATTTTCCATAAAACTGTTCGCTCGAATAGTATACTTACGTTCAAAAGCTTTTGAAAGACTTCTTGTGATAAATTACTGAAACATGATTTTTTATTAAAAGATATTATACCCTGTGTTAAAATTCATATTTTAGTTTTTATTATAAGCAAACATTATAACGCTTAAAGTTATCAGTCTAATTAATAGTAACTAATTGTGTAATTAACACTAGAACTACCGATGTTAAATATATACCTAGTTTYACCGCACCCGTCAAATTGACGGATTTTTAATTATGGCTTTCATAGCAACTTTTGAGTTAGTTTAAGTAAATAAAGGAATACAATTAAGCAATAACAGCATTTAATATAATAATTCATTAATTATTTATAAAAAAAAAAGTTTCTATTTGAATGAGGCACATATTTTACATGTACATGTTATATTAGTTGAACACATGCCACAAACATATTTCTTGCATGCATTGCAAGTATAAGTCGCTCTGTTTTTATTGCACAATCGT